TCAAATAAGTTAAATTAAGAATAAAAAAAAGTAAGCATTAAAATATTAAGTTAAATGAATAATGAGTTTTATTCCTTCATTATTAAAATATAACTATATTTTTCATATACGTTTACCACCTTACCTATATTTTATAATTATAAGGTGCACGTAACATATTATAAATTATTTAATACATATGTTAACAATGGAAATTATTCTAATGTATCTACGTAGAGTCATTGACGTAATGACTAAGTAAATATAATTTCATTTTTATTTGGATACCTGTTAGATATTTATTATAATTATTTTGTTGTGTATCAATTCATATATTATATATCATACACCTTGCAGTGTGGTCTCGGCATGGATAGGTGACCCCTTGCTTTAGAAACTAAGGGAACTTAATGATCTAGGGCTGGATGACAGCGTCTCTTTTAAAACATCACCAAAAACCTAATTGCGGCTGTCAACCCACCTGCTAAACGTAGAAACTACGGGTAAAACTCCCCAGTAGTGGAAGGCCTACGTTCAGCAGTGGTCAGTAACGGCTAATATCATCATCATCATGTGATAGTATCTGGCTATACCAATTAATTACTGGCTATGTCAATTTGACTGTCTCTTAGGAAAGTATAATATTTATATATAATGTTTCTTAGATAAATTTATAAAAACATAATAAAAGAATGCAATCGAATTGAGAACATTCTTTTTTAAATCGATTGAAAATATTAAAACAGTAATATAACAATACCAAATAATATGCACATATATATATGGTATATCTATTTTATTTACCTAAAATGCATAGCCGTAAGTAGGGGGGAAGGGCATTGAGGGGCAATACCCTACTTTAAAATGAAAGGTACCAAAAAAATTTTACAGTTTCGCTTTTTTGAATTTTTACAGATTCCTTAACTATAGATTCTGTCTTGACAAAAAGTTCTTTTTCCCTGCCTTAAACATGGGTCTAGTTACGGCCCTGCCAGAATGGTAAGTCCAAATCCGTCACTCGTTGTCAACTATTGCTTCTGTCAATGTTTTATTATAGCAGAAAATCATTACATAAGAAACATACGTTTTTTAAAACAAAATGTGTTTGAAAAATAAAACGTAAAAAGAGAATCATCATCATCAATATCAGTCGTTAACTGTATACTATTGAACATAGGTCTCCCCCATAAGGAGGGGGAGAAAAAGAATGCCAAGTATTAAAAGAAAAAGAAAAATAAGATGGCCAGTATTTGTCATTTGCGCGGAAGTGTATGCAATTGTTCTAGTGGTGCTAATTAGCGTCATCTCTAGGTTACATTATCAGTGTAATGAATGTGTCAACTTTTAATAACACTAGCTTTTACCCACGACTTAGTCCGCGTGACCGAGATATGTTTACTGACCGGTATAAAAAGTATTCCATAATATTCCCCAGGGGGTGGGGAGGGGATTGGTAGTAATGGAAATTAACAATTTTAACCCCTATCAGATCGACCTACACGCGGTTCCTCCTGGAAAATATTGTGATTGTTTTATTGTTAGTTATATGCCAACTGACCTGTTTCATCCTCACTTATCATCCCTCACTGGCACCCCGCCAGTGTATACCGTTAGCGCAGGCGAGGTAACCATTCCATTGTTATCCATTAAAAAAACACCTTCTCCAGGGTCCCATTTATCTCTATACAAAAATTCATCATAGTCAATTCAGCAGTTTAGACGTAAAAGCATAATAAATAAACAAACTCACTTTCGCTTTTATAATATTAGTTAAGAATTCTTACTAGGAGACTTCATTCCTACGACGAGTATCTATTCCTATATTTGAGATATATTCGACTTCGAAGAATTAGAGCCCTATCGGTTAATTAGGATGCCATGGTAGGTGGCGCGACAGTGACAGAGTAAAGAGACGATGCTCGGCCAATAAATATGCTTACGGGGGTTAAAATACTTATATATTATTCGACTCATTTATTTTTAAACCTTGTCTCATGCATGCACCTCCGCTTCGGAGAATTTTGATTCCTCTCTTAGACAGTGTACAGGTCACTTATCATGATAGATTACAATTAGCCTTCTCTTGGTATTTACAGCCTTCCACTTCTCGTCTTCCTTCATTCTTTCATCAGATATTCCTTAAAATAGTAGTTAATTTTAAATACATTAAAATAAATGAGATTTAACATTTTCATCTATGTTCAGATATTTGGCATTTACTACATAATTACAAATTGTTATAGAAATTCAATTCAAACTTTTGTTGCATTTAATTAATATTATTAAAATATAAAAGTCATATTCCAATTTTAATTGATTGCAAAATTTATTTACTTGAGTTTAATTCAATGAGATTGGTTAATAGGCTTAGTAATTGTGTTATATTATACTAGCTGCATACCGCGGCTCCGCTCGCACGAACCCTTACATAAAGTGTCCCATGTGCTAAGTTAGAATATAACCTGTGTACCAAATTTAATTCAAATCGTTAGTAGTTTTCGCGTGAAAGAGTATCAAATATCATTCCACTTATCCATTCGTTAGAAATCTTCGCATTTATAATGTCTGTCCGTCCCTATGTATGCTTAAATCTTTAAAACTACACAACTGATTTTGAAGCGGTCTCTTTAATAGATAGAGTGATTCAAGAGGAAGGTTTATATGTATAATACATTCATAATATTGCAGAGAAACACTGATAAATTTAGAAAATATGATGTCGTAAATAAACACATTTTTTGCTCTTACATTGCAAACGCTGGCTGAACCCCACGAGATAAATCAAAATAATGTATTTGTACACCTTAAAAAGGTGAACAAAAAAGTCCGCGATGGTATATGTCTATCTCTTAAGGATAACCCACAATAACCGATTTTTTATCCTTTATATTTTACGGGATAAAATGGCTTATTTATGAAGTGATTTTAAGCAATACAGCATTATTTTTATCCAATTAAGTACCTTAATTACATTGTCCATTTAATATAGATCAATATGGCTCTTCACAGCATGTAATTTAAATGATTATTTCCAGATATTACAGATTTAAAATGCAGGGACATAGCGGTGCGGCGGTACTGTATTGCACTCGTGCGAAGCCGGGGCGGGTAGCTAGTGATGTAATAAGTCTGAATTCTCGAAGAGACAAATACTAGTGATATTTTCAAAGAAAGCAGCTGACTATCAACTGTATTTTCATCACTATTTATCGTATGTAGACAGTGTAGATAAGGATATTTATCTTTTGTAACGTTAGCTTTGATGCAATGTTAACAGACTATAAATTTTGCTGCTACCACAGATAATATAATACCATATTAGTACTGCCACTCATATGTAACTAGGAAACAAGTGTTTACGCAGTTGGAACACAGACATTGCTACATGCTTTTTTGTCTTTTTTGACTTACGTCAATTTACAAAAAAACGAACATTATTTACTCGATACCTATTTTATGGCAAATCATGTCAAATATGTTTGTATGTATGTTAACTAGAATTAATAAGCAGACTTTCACGTTTAAAATACAGTGTCTGCGAGTTCCTTTGTGCGACCGGGTAAAATATAGGTTACGTCCTTTTCTATGCTAAATGCCTGTTAGTACCTATATTTTTACGGTGCATTGTAGTAGAATGGTATGACATCTGATATTTTAAAAGATTCTTTATAAGATTTCAAAACTGAAATCAATCTAATAATTATAACTGATAATTTTTTTTAATCCGTATTTTTTTTTTCTTTTACAGTTTTGGCAATCTATCGCCTGTACTTGCATAATGCATAGCGTATAAGTAGACCGAGTAACGTATTTATTTCACGAAGACTTAGTTGAGTTGTTAAGGTGCTAACAAAGAAACTTATTTTAATATTTATAATAATAATAATACCTAGAAATTAAATCTTTAAATTAAGCGATATATTTTATTCCTGCCATTAGTAGATGGAAATATAAAAATCTTAAATCTTATAGTACAATTACGTAATTGATTATTATTTAAATTTTAGCTTGTATTGCCTCATAGTGGGGCAAAGGTTCTCTCCCTGAATGTAAATTGTTACAGCTTACATAATTTTTTAACAATTATTTTTAAACAGATTGTATGTGATTTTTTTGTATATATATGTTTTTTTATATCGCTTTTTTGTGTATCTGTCTATTGTGATTTGTGTGCTATAAGTAATGCAAATAAATTATATATCTAATTATATATCGCCTTTTGAACATTTTTTTTATTGTAAAGTGTTCAATGATAAGAATAAATAAATAGGTATCTATTATTTATAAATAGTCTTCTACGTTCTATTTTATTATTGAAATTACAATAGTGATTATATATAAATATTTGTATAATCATGTTTCATATAACAATTTATATTTTAGCAACCATTTATCTATAAAATGTCGTCAATAAATTAAGTTAAAGCGTCTACCAAACTCAATTTACGTACAAAATAAATGATCTATCGTCTATCAATACTCACCCCATGTCTCTGTGTTCCAAGGAATTATTTGAAGAGCGAGGCACCAGAGGCCGATAGCTGGATCGGGTCATTATGATAATATTTTGTAAACGTTATATTCAAGTTACAGTGCATTCACGTATCATCACATATGTTTTATCACACGTTAATTGAGCAAACAGCACAAGTGGCGGGCGACAGTGGAATACAACGACTGATTAGTATTGTTTAAACTATCAATCTACCGGTGGCGTATTGAGATAACGTATTTGTTCACATCGGTACGCAAAGTACTTATTGACAGTGCTGTTAATATGTAAAAAGATAAGGACAACATTAGTAAAGCGTATTTTTGTTGTGCAGGTACTCTTGAATGAACCGATCAATAATCTAATGTTGGGGTGAAAGCTCTCGGTGTAAACCACGCCTCGCGGGCCGGTTCCGCGGGCTTTTGTGCTGTACATAGTGGCTCTATCTAGCGGCTAAGTGGCGAACTAATGTAATAATAAAAATCAGCTGGGATGGCGTTTAGTAAATGGTAGATTTATAATAATAAAATTAACTAGTTAAAAATATATTTAATGTATGACAATATACAATATGTAACAGAAAGGATACGAGTTAGTCGTAATGGGTGTATTAAATAGTTACGGGCAACATTCGGTATAAGCATGGTATATGAGGTATATCCATTACGAGAAACCCCGTATAACCATCCTATTCTATTTTCATTGCTAAAAAAAGAACAATCCCATATCCAACGATAGTATTCGTGAAACAACAATTTTTGAAGGGGCACGGGTTGAAATTTTAATACTTCTTGAGTCTTTCATACAAACTGTACAATCACGTGACGGATCAGGTATGAAAGATTCAAAAATTAATTTGTTATTTCAGTTCCGGTTTCTATGGAATGTTATTTAGTTTTATAAATCGATTATATTTTATACTATCTTGATGTTTTATACTATCGATTGTATATTATATTAATACCCTTTCTATTACACTTTGATCCATTGGGCCTTCATTATTATTTATAACACTAACTTACTATACATAATATTAAAATTCTATTATTAATAATAAAATAGTTGAACTTTTAATAACGACATAAAATCGTACTTTGTGCCTTAATTTTAAATACATGAAAAAGTTGTTATATAGTTTTTTTGGTTTCTTCCAATTGTGGCGTTTCCTCGGATTTCTTTTCAATGTTTTCTTTTGTTTTATCCTGATCCTCTTTCAAGTATTCTTCCAGCTCTTTTTCTGCATTTTTTAAATCTTCTTCAGTTATATTTAAGTCCGGGAATCGCTTCTGTAAATATTTTATATCAAAACAGTCAATATGAGGTCTTATTAATTCGTCAAACCATAAACTTGATAACAGGAATTTTGAATAGTAAAATATTGTTTTTAAGTACTATGTCTGCCATGTACACATGACAGACCTTCCCTTCCTGATACCATTTAATCAAATAATGTACATACTATATATGTAAATTTTACAATGTTTGAAAGGCATCAGGAAGAGTTCTACAACAAATTAAAGTATTTTTAAAATGACAATACCGCTGGTGCTCTCTTAGAAGAATTCCTATATACAATGGGGCTTATTCTGAGCTACATTTCGTTAAACTTATATCCTTACCTAATATTTTAATTTGATAGTTTCGCGAAATTATTATTTTATGGACCATCATTCTCATCCTCACCTTTCATCCCTCAATGGTACCTTGCCAGTGTATACAGTTATCGCAGGCAGGGTTACCATTCCATTATCTTCTTTAAAAAAATCTTTGTACAATTTACCAAGTGTCGCTTTTCTAAAACTGTAATTCTGTTTTTAAACTGTTTAATATGTAGCACTTAGTTTACTATGTGAAATGGGCTAGATCATCAGTCAAAGAATAGAATTCTCTATCGGCGTTTGTTTTTCCCGACTCATATAATCTGTTCTTCTTTAAGACCTTTCTTTTTCTTTAAAGATCATTTAAGAGTGAATAGACGTCATTTGGGTTTGCGGTTCGGTTTGTGGGCTTCATCTTAGATCACGTCGTCACTAACTATGTCGTTAACTATGACCGAACGTGCTCAAATTTATTAATATTTAATAAAAAAATATTATAATTTTTTAAGATTCTGTTTTACCAATAATATTAAAAATTTAATATCAACGAAATGTTTGTTGGAATATGCCAAAAAAGCTTTTAGTTTTCAATCCTTATTTTTCAGTTGTACTCGTCGTTTATTATTTTTTTCCGCTTCTCGACTCGTTTCATTGGAAAAGTGTTTTGTTTCACTAATGGAACACTGATTTTAAAGAATAATACCAATATATTTAATTTTTTTCCGTATAGTAGATTTTTCTATATAATAGTATCACAATCTAAACAATAATCAGTTGTTTAATGCTTTTAGGTTTGAATCAAATATCACGGACGGTTATTATGACAATTCGGAATGCAATGGACTGACTGCGCGTGTCCGTTGAACGAGTGATTGGAAAAGGTTCTTTAGACTATGATTAGTACCTACATGTATACATAAATATCTGTCACGCCTGCCTCTCATTGGGGTAGGCAGCAGTGGACTGCAAAATTATTCTATTCAAACAGAACTCTTTCGTTTCCTCACCTCGCCGTTTACGGGTTTTTTTTAATGGGGTCCTTCTTCAGCACGTCGTTTCTTTGATCGATAACGGCTCCTAACAACATCTCCATTCATTCATGCTTGATAAATCTCTTTCGTTATTCTTTTTTCATTCATCCTCTCCAAATGGCCAAATCATTGTTTGGCCTTACCAATACCTATTATTTTATTCTAAAATGAGTAATAATAGTTATAATTCGACTCGCCTTAAATTCTTGCAGCGTTTGCTGTATGTTCTCCTGTTGTGATCTTAGTCTTCTTGGCAACAAAAATACCATGTTGAATAACCTCAGCATGATCCAGCACAATACTGTTAGAATACCATATAAAAGCATTGCTTTGCCCATGGCCCAATAGTCGACGCTTACTTGTTGGTTCTTCATTTTTAAGTCTGTATTGTCTCAAACTGAATCTGTGCTTGGTTGATCTTTGTGCTGTGTTTGATTTAGATTTAAGCTTAGTTGCTGTGTTTAGTAGCGTAGCTGTAAACTAAATATGACAAGCAATGTGTGTAACAAGCGAATGCGTTTACATGAGTGACCCATTTCATATCGATTCAATGTTGACGTGGCTCACCGAATTATTAATGCTGCAGGAGTATTCAACCGTTTTTGGTTGGCCATGAGTTCAATTTATTTTATTTGAAAAAAAAAGGAAAAATAACGGTTTCCTGTTATTATTATATAAATGTCATAAATAACTTAATGTTTTTCTTGTGTTCTCTTTTCTATGGGTGTCATAAGAAGCGAATAAGGGAACTTAATGGTCGAGAGATCAGCAGCAGAGTCCTTCTTAAAACATAATCAAAGCCTAACTGCTGTTGCCAACCCAAGCTGCTGCCAAGTAACAGTTGATATAGTAATAATAAAAATATTATTAAGCTACAATCAATTAGATGTAAACTCTAAGTTTTAGTTTCATGACATTATTAAAATGAATAATTTTTTTAGTTAGATTTCTTACTGTCCTAAGATTATTCCTATAACTTTTTGTAATGGAATATTATTTACAGTCTTATTCCTATTCGCTTATTATAATATATTATCATATTGAACAGTTAGTACATAGATCATATAACCATTATTATGTTCCTATAATATTTATGAAAAAAGTTAGTGGCGAGATATTTTCAAATATCTTATTTTTAATATTTTCAGAAGCTTTTGCTCTGTTGGAGAATTAGTTATTCCAAGTTGCAATCATAAAAAATATCACTTCGTTGAAAACCCTTTCAATTCCAAAGCCCGACTCTCACAGGTGAATAATTGGATTTTGAAATTGGATCGAGTTCCTAATCGAAACTATAGCTAAAACGAATAAAATTCTTAAGTACATAACAGTACAAGTTATTACGAGACAGTGTAAATATAACACAATGTTATGGACATATGGAATCAATAAATCGATACTAGCTTGTTTGTAATTAATGCGATCGTGTGACCACTGAAATATGACAATGACAATACAGCTGTCTGTTAAGTAATGAAACGTCTGCATCTTGTACATAATGACGACCTTGGTCGCAGCGAGGGGGGGGAGGGATTGTTAGTAATGCGGACTACCAGTCCCAGTGCCAGCAATATATCCTGTCAGGTCGACCTCCACGTAGTCCCCCCTGGAAACCATCGTGCTGTATTCCAGGTGTATTCAGCATGATGGACTCACTGATCTGCGTTTTGATTGTCACTTATCATCTCTCATTGGTGCCCCACCAGCGTTGACTATGTATTAACGCAGGTAGGGTTACCATTCCATTATCATCCATTAATAAAATACCTTGGTCTTCTGTTGGTAAAGGTAGTTCTCATTTACCAACTATTAATAGATCGACCTCCACGCGGTCTCCTGTAATCCATCTTCGTTAATTGCTAGTGAATTTGCCTCGATGTGCCACCTGACCTGTCTTCATCCTCACCTATCCAACATTCACTGGTATTGTATTGTATTGTAAAATCTGTATTGTACATAATTCATACATAATGGTATCTTGCTAGTGTATAGCAATAGCGTAAGCGTGGTTACTATTCCATTTTTACACCAATAATTTGTATTTCTGGCGTTTTAACATACACGTACCGCATTGGAGAAAAGGGATTGTTGGTAATGGGGTCTAACAGCTATTATTGTTAGTAATATACGTAATTTTTTTAAGGATGATAATGGAATGACAACTCCGCCTGTGCTATCAGTATATGCTGGCGGGGCAACAGTGATAGATGACAAGTGAGGATGAAGGCAGGTCAGATAGCCCATCGTGAAGAATTCGACTAGAATTCATCACTATGGTTTCCAGAGGGAATCGCTTGGAGTTCGACCTGATGGGTATATAATATACCCTATTGCTAGCAATGGGGCTAGCAATAGGGTAGCAATAGTTAGAACCCATTACTAATATTAAAATGTCCTTGCGAATAGAGATAGAGGGAATGAGAGAGAAGGGGTGGGAGAGAGACGGCGATAGAGGGGCGAGGGACCTCCCTCGCCTATACCTATATATATATATATATAGAGAAAGAGTGATGGCGCCGGTTAACACTTAAATGTCATGAACTAACCAGATGCCTCTATCGACTGTTGTCATATTTTTTTTATGGGTGAAAATGGTATGGTAAGCCCGCCTTCGCTAACGGGATACGCTGGCGGAGCACCAGTGAAGGGTGATAGATGAGAATGAAAACAGGACAGTTAGCCCATCATGCTGAATTTATCAGGAATTAACCATGATAGTTTCCAGGGGAACCGCGAGGAGGTCGACCTGGTTGGGTATATTGCTAGCAATGGGATTCTCAGTTTCCCCCCACTTTTGTCATATTTCGTGTAATATGTCCAGAACCAGTTCTAAATATATACGTAATTGTTTATGCCTTATGTATCTACGTGTTAATTGGCTTGATCGCTAGTTAGAACGTGGCTGTTTATGAATTACCAATGGGATGCATATTTGTTAATTTGTCACAATGACCATGTTGTTTACTAATATATATTATGAACTAACTGCAAACTGTATCTAAATTAACAAAGTTAGAATATATAACAAACTGCTAACAAATCTTAAAAATTTAAATTGTTATAAATTTAAAAAAGAACTGCAGAAATGGTCAGTAAATAAGTGTTACTATAGTGTCCAGGAATATTTACAAAATATAAAATAGTGACACATTATAAAAGATTGACATTTCTGTATAATTATATTACAATTATTATTATATCTGTACAATTAACGTTTAAAAATTTGACATGTTATGTTATTATATTATTACATATTAAGGAATTATTTTGTCATAACTTTTATAATGACTGTTGCACGTCAGTAATGACAAAATGTGTGAAACCATTGTAATACTACCATATGACCTTATTGTACCACATTTTTAGCAATAAAATTCATTCATTAAAAAAGTTATTGATATAATTGATATTATATATAAAATGCTATAAAATAAACTTGATGAAGGTATTAGGTATGTAATTGTCATTTAAGTATGTAATACAATATAAGACCTGATACATAGAGGATTCCAATGGGAATGATATACGGGAACTACATAGCAAGAAGCGGGTAAAGCCGCGGAAAACGGCTAGTTATTAGTATTCTTAAAATACGTTAAAATTATAAGACTAATGTGCAACTTGTGATTAATAAATATATTTGTATGTACTTCTGTTTGTATTAAAATATTATCTATTTTAAGATCGGGGTAAAATAGATTTTTACTAATAGGTCATAGGGGTAACAAATTTAAAAAGTCCATGATGTACTTCATGTCTATAGGTGATTTTATACTTTACGTAAGCTGTCAGTTTGTTTGCCAGCTGTAAAAAAATGTGTTTTGGATATTCCCACGGTATATAAGTGAAGCTGTCGAAAAATCTTCATAACACGCAGGTGATTGATTGCATGTGGGCGATATTATGGACTGTATATTGATGTTTATAATGTAATCAAACAATGGGTTTAAAAGGAAAATAACTATAATAAAGAAAACTACGAAAGATAGACTACGACAGCAAAGAGCAAAAGTGACAATTGTAAAAACAAAAGTATAAAAATACAATAAAAATAAAATCTTTAAAAATAACTAAGGAGTTCGCAACACACAGCATTAAATTAATTATGTATACGTTAATAGCTAATGTTTTATAAGGTGGATATATTTATTAACACGTACATAGTAATCCACCGCGTAGACTACCTATTTAGATTGATTGACTGAACTTGACATGTGTATAGCTTGATGGCATGTAAATGAAACCTTGATTGTGACTAGCATATAGGAGCACTACGAATACTTATAGGTTTTATTTATATTGTGATAAAGGAAGTATCCGATGTATCGTCGTCTTTAACATAGACAAAGATGGAGATTATACGACGCAATTTCTATTATTATCTGTGATGCAATTAAGTAAGTAGGCACTATAATGTATATGAAAAGTAAGCGAGTCACTATTAAACTATGTGGTTACTGAGAAAAGGGATTTTTAGCAATTGAAAGCAAGGGTCCCATTACTAGAAATGTACCCTATCAAGGAGAGTTCTAAAACCGACAACTAATAGGGAAGAAACGTTGTTGAGTTGAGACGCCGTACGAGCAAACGCAGTGTTTTTTTTAATATATTACTTAGTTTATCAGTTATAATTATCATGCCCCTTTTAAGAGTTGTGACCGTTTTGTGTCACTTTTTTATTTTTTACGTGTACCTGTATATTTATTTATTTTTGTTGTTAAGTATGTTGTAAATATAAAAAAAGAAAAATATTTATTAAGGGAACACAAGAATAAAAATTGATAAAAAATGTTGATGTTTATTGGAAACTACAACTTTCTTACACATCACTATAAAGGTTAAATAATCAACAAATAAATATAATTCAACGTAATTGAATTAGCTAAATAATAAAATATATTAGCATATTCTATACTCTACACGTTTATATTTTATGTTACAAAGTCTTGCTACATTCAGTTGGTCTTGAAATCACAGTTGAGTATTAAATAATTTAAGCGACATTTTAAATAAATCGATGACCAAAATAATACATTGAATTGTTGCCCTAATACAAAAATTACCTAAATTTTAGCGACTGATCGAAATAATGATCGTAATAACAGAATACGGAATAAATCAAAAAGTATGAACGGGCACAGAGTATACTACACAGATTTGTTCAAAATTTTACGTTACGTTAATAAGATTGAATATAAAAAAAAAAATCTAAAACCATCCGTTAGAGATGTGGTTACGTTTTCAATACAAATTGTCGACATAGTGTACTCGAACATAATGTAAATAACATATTTGTATAATTCACAACAAGCACCAAGTATTTGAGAGATATTTAAAACTACTCCAAAATTTATAGCCCTTACTCTGTGTAATTTCAGGTATAATTTTCTTATAACATTTTTGAAGCTAGCAACATTACATATATGAAATAAAGGGTAGGTACAAGGGGTATTTTTTACGTTTCCAGCGAAATTTCATACTTGTATTCTATAGGTTTGTTCCGTATTCTGTTACGATAATGTAACATTTGAATGGTCGTCAATACTTGCTTTTAGCACCTTGGATTTTTAGCTAATTTATATTATATACCTATTGGTAATACACGTTACAATACGATCAAATAATAAGCCCAGTCGCCATCTTAACAAACGCATACAACTAGATTTTGTGTCGTCTCCTGTATTCATACGACATCTTAGGAAATATAATTTTATTATCATTTCAAAAATATATTTTAAATTCTCATAAAAATAAAATATGCTAGTGGTTTTTAATTTAGTTTTCTCAATACCTATGTATGAGTTTCGAGTCTATTCCAGTGCAAAAAAGGAAATAATGTAGATATATGGTTTAGATTATGGTTTTAGTGTGATGGGAATGATTAAAATTGTAACTGCGTTTCTTCTCTGGATATCGTAGCAGGTGACTATAGGAGAACACAAAAAAACAATATATCAGTATAAGAGAGAGAAAATTGGAAATAAAATTTTGTAACAATAACCCGTCAAGTAGGGGCTTCTATGGAAAGATTCCTTTGTCCAGCTGTGGGACATTTATAAGCTGTTATGCTTACGATGTATACAATTATAGTATAATTAGGCACATATAGGTATGATTTACCTGAAATCATGTCGCGTTTAGGACGCAAATAAATTTAAATATGTATTATATATACAATTCCCGATATAATGAGTTTATTTTTATGAGAATTTTATTTATTATACGATGTTAAGAGGCCCTCCTTGCTAAGAATCACAATGCCGCTATTTTTTGTTGCGATAATTTGGTATTAATAGTTACAAAGAATTTGCTTTTGCATTTTAAACGAGAATGTAATTATTACATTTATTTAGAGTACCATTTTAAACACAAACAGCATTTTATAACACGGAGAGCGTCTTATTTTACGTTTCACTAAATAAGTTTCATGAATCAAAAATTAAAATTCAACTTTATAATATTGTAGAAAAAGTTAAAGTTTAAACGTACGTAATTTTGTTGTTAAAATACATTATTTCAACGCTGATTGCGTTGAATTTTATAATCTCTTTTCTAATTTCTATGTCCGGATGGGCTTATATGAAATTAGAACTTCTGTAACTAAAATATAATGAATGCTATATATATTTTTTTTAATCCTAGAGAAACTTATTCGTGAAAATTAGTGTACATAGTCTAAACACAAACTACACTTAGTAAAATAATTTACACAAATAATGCAATTTTAGAATTGTAAGTTACTAATAGGTATATTAACCATTTTGAACACACAAAGGATCGTTACAAGTACAGTTTAAATATTTGATGAGAATCGTATATTCTAGCTTTATAACTATATCTTGATAATTACTATGAGGCGATATTATATTATTGGAAATTAAATTATATTAAAGAATGTTACGATAGTGTAATATCTAATAATATCATAGATAGGTATGTTCATCTTATATCATATTTCAAATGTGGCGGAGAGAATACTTAAAAAAAAAAAAATTAAAAAAAAAACAATGCTACAAAAATATAGATCTGATATGTTCAACTATTACAGCAATGCGTCCACGGGCTGCCACATTTTTCGGGGCATGTTATAGGCGTTAGACAACTAGTAAAAAAGATTTATATTGTAGTTTAACTAAATACTACAGTTAGTTGAGCTTGGAACATGTCTAGACAGGCCAGTATTGGCTTTTAGCAACGCAATATATAAGTGCATTACTCTGCATATTATAAATTCATTCTTTGTAATGAAAAATAAATCATGTAAAATAGATTGTTTGATGGCGGTCTATGGAGGAGACCTATGTCCAGCAGTGGACAGATAATGGCTGAAATGTTAAGTGATAACCCTGGTTTAACATAACAAATGTCACGGTGGAATGTCGCTAAGAACAATGACATTAAAGCACTATATTCTCTCTGTATTGTGATAATACTATGTTTATTTGAATTTTGTACATTTTATATGTACAGACAGTATGTATAATAGTGTATGATGCCCACATTATAATTTATATCCATTTACAAAAAGCAAAACATTTTTTTATTTAACTCGGTTCAGAGGTGTCCCTAAGACATAGAAGAATTTTTAATAAAGAATTCTTACGTTTGGGATTTTAATAAAGGGTAAACATATAGAGATCGTTGGTGGGTCACTCCAATCCTAGAATGTTGTAAGTAGAGAAGTAACAAAGCACAATAAAGCAGGCAAACATGAAATAAAAACTATATCTGGTAGTGGCTAGGCTACATGGTAGGGGGGATAGGATTGTTAGTAATAGGGACTAATGGCCTCATTGCTAGCAAGTCCTGTCAGGTCGACCTCCACGCGGTTCCCCCTGGAAACCATTGTGACTAATACTTGTTGCGTTCGTCACGATGGGCTAACAGACCTGTTTTCATGCTCATCTATCATCTCACATTGGTGCCCCGTCAGTGTATACCGATAGCGCAGGCGGGGTAACTATTTAATTATCATCCATTAAAAAAAAAGTCTACATAGTAGACTAGACACTATTCCTTTGGATAGACATTTAACAGTGTTACCATAAAAAATAATTTAAATTATTGCCTTAGAAAGGCATAAACACATAAGAAAAAAATTTCTATCCATGCGTTTATTGTTTAAACGGTGTAATAATGTTTATTTGTAATTTTTTGTGCTAAAAAATATAAACTATTTTAATAAAATTTATTACTTTAAATACATTTTATTTTTAATAAGACCATCTTTCTTTTGTTTAAACATAAATATACATGTTATATGCTTTTGTAGTAAGACGTCTAAACACGCATTGGATACCTGTTTATCACAAGTTAACTTTTTAGTGGTAATACGGAAAATGGCTGTTAAGAAAGGTAAAAAATATAGAGATCATTAGCATAAAATTTCAATTTTTAAATTGCCCGTTAGTCTTAATGTAATAACTATCGAATTTATAAATGAGGCGTATTCACAGGCAGCTTTATTAATACAACTATATTACAATCCCTTATTTTTTTTTATACAACTTAGAATGACAAACAAGCTGACGGCCCACCTGATGGAAAGTGTTAACCGTCGCCTATAGACATAAGCAGTATCATGGACATAACAGAGTATACTGTTTCGCCCATGATACCCCCCATGCGTTGCCATTCCTGAGGACTCGGGTGTTATTCCTCTGTACCCAGTACATTCCCTTATCTGACAAATAAAAGTACTTTTAATATATTAAATTTGAATTATTAACTTACTTCTTTATTCTACTTGAATTATGATTTGAAAAACGAAAAAAATAATTGGATCCTTTAATAATAGCAAGTTGAGTTGTCAAGTATAGGTGGCTTAAAATTTTTTGCATGTTTCAAATCACGTTTTTTCAGAAAAAAAAAAAATCTTTTGAACTGCTAGAATATTTCTATATAAAAGACAGTAATAATTTTAATTTCAAACTATATATAACTTTGTTCTTGTTTGTTACTCACTGTAAACAGCATCTTGTATTACATATTTATCTGGATATTAGGATCAACCCACAAACAAACTTTTTTTTTAATTTGCTTTAGTGTAATGTAGACATCGACTCTATTGCCAGAGAGAGAATATGTTGTCTGTGGACAACTTAAATTACCCGCCCCCAAGGATAAATTCATTAGGTATTTCAAATATTTAAATAACTGTAGAGAAAATGTTTTAACTCCTACCTATCTACGAGTGAGACAGATACAAAAGTACTAAAATCTAGTTTAATAGTAACCTAGATAGATATTTGGTGGGGCCCGAGGGCAAGCTATGTTCAGGGCATGTTCTGTAGACATTCTTTGATTTGCGTCCACGCCTGCAAGTTCTGGAAGGTAAAAAAGGAATTAAGTAAAAAGGTATTTATTGCCAAAAAAAAAAATGTACGCTATATATGTATATTATCACTGATTCCTACACTAGGCTGAACCTGCTCTGTAGGTTTCGTTTTACCATATACATACTTACAGAACAGCAATATGGCCGCTACCCATGAGCACCCAAAACACTAGAGGAATTGCAGATGTGCTGTCGGCCTTTTTAAAAAGGAAACCTACGACATTACCTATGTGTATTTGAAGCATTCTATATTTACGAAGTACAGAGGCATAAAATGGTAATTCTCATCAATGAAAACACCAGAGGGATACCATGGACGTTATAGCGTATGATATTTACAGTACTGTTTATGTTTGTCGGCGTCGGTTACGACTTTCCATCAGATGGTCGGTCAGTTAGTCATTATAAGTTGTATAAAAAAAGTAAGCATTATAATAATATTCTTACACTTTTGGCTGCTTTGACTTGCAGGGTTATGAATCTGACGAGCGATTCGTGGAGGTCCTTGTCTTTTTGTTTTTGGAAATATTCGATCTCAACTAATGCCTTCTTGTTGAATTCTCTGTAAAAATATTATACATATATATACGTCAATGATGCATTATTTAAATATAAAATATATTTTCGTTGGCATAATAATAAATATTTATTACGCACAAAAAAAAATACAGTGAGAATATTATTAATATATTCATTAGAAAAATAATTCTCAATTAAATTTAAAAAAAATATCGATTCGATGTGGAGGATTTTTAATTCAATTAGGTACTGGGAAACACACACTTATACTTCTTTTTTAAAAAAAATATGTATCAAATTTCAGTCAGACAAACATCATTTTAGTACATTGAATTTTGATCCATTTTTAACATTTGATACATTAAATCTAATCGTGCAACAATGTCAAAATTTAATCAAGCAATATGGTTCACAGAATTTAGGCCAGTTTTTTAAATTAGACGCTCCATCTATATAATCTATAATATATAATCCCTTTATGGGATAACTGCGCCATTGTATATTAAATCATTTATCAGTGCTTAATTTGAATTATGTACAATAAAGATTTTACAATATAATACAATCTAAGATATGCCGAGTGGAAAAGAACCGAATTTGGAAGCGTACGTACTGTAGGGCGGCGCGCGCTTGTTGTATGGCGCGCGTGTCGGCGGCGAGCTTGGCGTCGAGCGCGCGCGTGGCGACATCTCGCGCCAGGTCCGGCTCCGTGGTGCCGAACAGCCGCGCCATCAGCGAACCCTTGCCGGCCGCCGCTCGCGACCGCTCCGCTACCCTGTATGATAGCAGAAGATAGAAGTAAAAACAAAAAGTAGGTTGCAGAGGTCAGTAAGAGACTTCTACATCTGTATGGGTTCGCTTCATCTGTTCTAGTGTTCTTAGTCACAAAGTAGCTATGCTTATCTCCCTGCGTTTTATGGATCAGATGTAGTAATGAAAGCACAAACCGAGATATCTTAATCTTTAGATACTAAATATGTAAATAAAATACAAAAGAGTTACTAACAATATGATAATTTGGATCCAAATTTTAATTCATCACTAAAATAAAACAACAAAATCCGTCATAAATAGTAATCCTTAGCGGATTGTATTAATTCAATCTCAAGCAATCTAACATAAGGCAGTGCAAATGGGAATTTTGCCCCGCCTCTTTCCTATAAACCATATAAGAGAGGGGTCGCAATGTATTCTGTGTATGATGTTATTCATATCTATGGACGATGGTTGCCATTTTCCACAACGGTGGGCCAAAAGTTTGCTTGTAATTAAAAAAAAAAGATAGCAAGTCACACCTGTTGTTTAGTGTGTCGTGTGCATTTTCGAGCGCTTGTTGCAGCGCTTCATGGTTACTGCACAACTGCTGGAGTGATGCTGCATAGAAAAGGTACTCCTTCAGTTGGTCGGCCAGTTGTTCCTCGTCCTCGGCCAGTGAATCTATGCTGTCTGCTATTGAATCTAAAATTAATGACAATTCACATTAACAATCTCGACGAGGTTAATTTGATTCCTAAATTAAATTTTTCTAAATCGGTTTGGGTGTTCTGGGCTTTTATTTTAAATGGATAATAATGGAATGGTAACCCTGTCTGCGTTAACGGTACACGCTGCCGGGGCACCAGTTAGGAATGATAGGTGAGAATGAAAAAGCAGGTCAGTTAATCCATCATGATGAACTGCAATTCAGCACGATGTTTTCCAGGGGGGACCACGTGGAGGTCGACCTGACATATATATCGGTATACTGCTAGCGATGGCACTGGTAGTCCGCATTTCTAATAATCCCTTCCTCCCAATAACCGTATGGTTTTTTTTGTTCAATGTACTGGGTTTGGATTCCCAAGCACTTGCGGTTGAGCGCTTTTGGTGTACGCTCGCATATGCCAAGGTTTGCAGTCGATTAGAATAGCCGTATGGTTCCGCCATAGAATGGGTCACCCCTTGCTTTTCTGTGGGTGTTGTAAGAAGTGACTAATGGAATTTAATGATTGAGGGATGGGCAGCAGCGTCCCTCTTGAAACGTCACCAAAAGTCAGCTTGGCAACTACCGGTAAACCCCTCAAGAATTATATGATGATGATAATGAATAATAAAGCACAAAATAGTGGCATAAAACTTGCACAGTTATTGTTTGCTTTGCATTCCAAGTGGTATAAAAAAAATACGAAAAAGTACGCACCAAAGTAGTGGCCTGCTTTTTGCAATCCATCGCCCATATCTTTCTCAATAACACTCCACTCGCTGAATAATTTGCCGTAACTCGCGTGGAGTTTACATAATGCATAGTTCTTTTCGATTATTTTTGATCTGTAAATGGAAAAGTGGTATTTTATCAACAGTAGTATGTCTTATTAATATAAATGTAAAAGTATACAAAGATGAAGATAATAAGGTAAATGAATAAATGGATTTTTTTTTATACAACTTAGAATGGCAAACAAGTTGACGGCCCACCTGATGGATAGTGGTTACCGTCGCCTATAGACATGAGCAGTGCCATGGACATAACAGAGTATACTGTTTCGCCCATGATACCCCCCATGCGTTGCCATTCCTGAGGACTCAGATGTTATTCCTCTGTACCCAGTAAATTCACGCCATATCCCACCCTTCAAACCGAAACACAGCCATGCAAACAACTCCTTCACGGTTGAAACACGAATGGGACAGAGGTACCCAAGCAATCGACTTTTGTACAAAGTCTCCCTCTGGTAAATCTCCAAAGGAAAGGGAGATAACGGGTGTACAGTTACCTGGTCGAGAAACAAATTTGATTTATGGATACGCTTATGTTTTTTGATGAATTTTAGTTTGTACAACTATATTATAGTTTAAATATGAACTTTAAGTATGATCAAGTATATTTACCTAGTATAGAGAAAATTTCCTAAGTTTGTTTCCAATTGCTTTCCATAATTCTTTACACTTTCTATATCTGGATCTGGCTTTTTCAGTCTGATTGAAACCGATAATGATTTCAGTTTATTTTCAGCATGTAATTTGTAGCCTGAAAATTATATATTTTAGTTATAAATGTATATAGTTGAGAATAAACTTCATAATTTAATTGCAATATATTTGTTGTTATAGAATTACAAAATATAAATAAAAAACTAAAACAACAAAGTAAAATTATGAATTTAATTTAATGAAGCAGAGTATAGGCTGTTTTACAACTAAACATGACGAATATTTTCATTTTACAATTACATACCACTGTCGGTGATAGTTTCCCGCCACCCATGTTCTTGTTGCAGGAAGCTGATGAATTGATCGTCGAAGCAGAGCCTCGGGTGTGAAGCAACTCGCAACAAAAAGTTCTCGAGCAACGCTCGCCGGCGTTCCACGAACTCCGGATCGGTCGTGTCCGATTTGCGCCATGCATATAATATCTGTATAAACAAAGAATTCGCATACCTAAATAAATTTAATAAACAAATCCAATTGGACATGTTATACAGGCCATCTAAGCACAGTTTTAACTATTGCTATAATTTATTGGCATTTGTTAATTTACATATATCTGTGTAACTGTAGGTAAAATATCTAATAATGTATGCATATAAATACAAATGGCATATTCACATTGTTCATTGAACGTATAAATTACATAGATAAGACATTCACAAATACTGTGAGCTAGGGTGGACCCATTTTTAGAAGGAACCACTTCCAGTCAAACCAATACAGTGAAAAAGTATGTAGTTAGCAGATAGCTAAAGTATACAACTGATTTAAAATATAAATACATAAAGTACAAATAATAGATAGATAAATTAATATTACCTAGATACATAAATTAGAACAATTGAGGACAGAAGGGGAAAAATGTTGGGACAAAAGGGGAAAAATGTTGGGACACTTGATACGACACGACGAACTTTATAATAGAAGGTAAGATAGAAGGAAGGAGGGGTAGAGGGATACCGAGGCATAGTTACATTAGGCAGATCAAGGAAGGAGTTGGTGTCGTGTCGTATCAAGAGGTGAAGAGACTCGCTGAAAATCGTAGTGAGTGGCCAGAGCTTCACCGACAAGAGTGCAGCTCTTACATAGGATAGATAGATACATAAATATAAATTATACAGTAAATTAAAAAAAATATATTAATAATATAATAAATTTAATTGTCTGTATAGTGCAAGGACAGAACCTGCAACCATCCGAGGATGAAACAGTATGTCAAACTAGCTATGCTACTATGGTGTAAAATTGCTTTAAAATTTTATGACATGGCAGTTACATATAGTTACTACAAAACATGAACCAGCCTTTGGTAATTTTCTCATCAGAGGGAGATTATGTGCAAGTAATTAGTATGGGCAGCTTTATCTGACTTATAATTCTACTAGCAAGCAGCTATGCATGGCTGTGTTTTAGTTTGAAATGGTAGTGATAGTAAGGAATATGGTGGCAAAACTCAACAAAGAAGTCCTCTATGATTAAAGCAATGCTTCAACATATTTTATGGCTAGGAATTAGACCGCCTCCCTGCCAGTACCAGCCTTCTTAGTAGCCATGTACCTCCCATTATCAACAGAGTCAGGGTTGTTCATGTTTATACATTAGTAGCTATATCACATGGATTTACCCATGTGCATTAGTATAGAAAATATCCTACTTAGAATATAACCTATATTCCATGTACAAAATTTCATTCAAATCCATTCAGTAGTTTTTATGTAAAAGAGTAATAAACATCCATCCATCCTTACAATCTCTTGCATTTATAGTATTAATGGGATGGTTACTACTTTCCACAAGGTGGGGCATAAGCTTGTTTGCGAATCCTAGTTGCATATAAAAGTATTTATCAAATTTTTTTTTACAAAGACAGTTACCCTTTTCTCTGGGAGTGGTGGTATAACAACATGTGGATATGTGACTTGAAGATAATCATGTATCTGCTCAAATTCTGTGTAACGTCTCCATATTGTGTTGATTTTAGATTGCACTAATTTGTAATCTGGATCTGTGACTCTGGAAAAGAAATTAGTTCATTATTTTTTTTTTTATTGTAAATAAAGAAAACAAAAGAAATATTGTATAAAGCATATTTTTGTATCATAAAAGGTGGGCTTATATCTAAAAGAATTATATATTAGTAGACTCTTTTTTAGTACGGACATAGTAATGTGGAACAATGATGGTACACAAAACATATAAATACAATGTGTAAAGACCAGGTTGCAGATAATATGGATTGGTCTTTAGAACTGGCATATCAACATGAGTAATAAATTTCAAACAGATCATCTTTTTTATTCTTATCCTAATGTTTCTCCATTTCTTCCATTTGGAGTTGAATTCCCAAAAAGTGATGAAAGATATGTGTAATTATTTTTGCTAAGAAGCTTTAATATTAAAAAATCAAACAATCAATCTCCTTACTTCAAAAACAATGAATTCCATATATAATTTTTTAACCCCTATTTTATACTAATGTTTCTACCCTATTTTTTCATTTAGGGTTGAATTTTCCCTTCCACAGATGGATGAGATACATAAACACTACAATCATTATTTTTAAGTATCTCATCTCACATAATTCGAGTTACCCTTATCCAATAATAAGGATAGATCACTCTGTCATTTATGCAACCCAGTACTTTTAAAAAATACTACAATCATACATAGTTATTAAAGAAAATTATTATTAAAATTATTTTAATTATAAAAAAAGAAACCTTAGTCATGAACTAATATTATCCAATAAACAGATAGTGTTATTGTGAGTCATGGTACTGATTAATATAATGGGATTATATGTATCTACTCAATTCAGTAATGTAATCTGAGCAGTAGGTGGCCTTGTTACTAAATATACCCAACAGGTATCATATGATATTGATTATCATTTAATCAGATATTGCTGGAACAAATGCATGTAGATTATATAGGTCTGATGGGTTTATTTATGAAGGTTAACTATAAGGAAATATTTAATGTACAAACAAATAAACATCTAACATTTAGTAATTTTTTTATTTTTAAAAAACAACTGGAGAAATAGACAAAACAGTTTCAACAAACTTCTTAATGATAAAAATAATAATGGTATCCCTGCCTGTGCTATTAATTAATGCAGTTAGGGTACCAATGAGAAAAGATAGGAGAGTATGAAGTGTGATTGGTTAGTACACTATAATAAATTCAATAGGAATTTAAATAGTTTTCAGAAAGGATTGCAAGCATGACCTGATAGTCTATGTTGTTGGCAGCAGGGCTATTAATTCCTATTATTAACAATTCTTTTTTCCTAGTCAAAATAAATTTATTAGATACTCACACATATTATGAGTAAGGGGGTAATGACTGAAGTATTCATTTACACGACGAAAGCAGATAGATGCCGACATACAATGATGTATACATTGAAATAGCGTTAATTGGCCTACAATCAAGGTGTAATTTATTATGATAACAATAGAATGAAGACTTACTTGAGATCGATTAGATACACAGTATAATGATCTCGGACATGCAGCGTACCATTTGCGCGCTTCTCAGATTCCACTATAGATATATCTACGTGTTTCAGCAACGTGTCCTAAAAGAAAAGGTGTAAAAGTTTCACATATCGATATGAAATATTCTAAGTAGGCGTTGTGTTAATGAAAACATCACGAACTTGGTTTTCGAAGTCTTCAATTGATTCTATCACGCTTGGTGATCTTGAGGGCTTAATCGGTGAATTTTCTGTCGACATTTCAAGAGTTCTTAAAGGATTTCACACCAAAAAGATAGCGATTTCAATAACAATGAAATTTGCAATTAAAAATTGTTCAAATCATCAGTAGGTTTTTTTTTCATCAGTGACAGTTTGTGACGGCTGACAGTATAGATAGCGGTAAAACGTGTGACAGATTGACATATATTTGACAGTTGACAGATTCTAATATATTCTTCATTTAGAGTTGTCTTAATAAAAAAAAAAAGGATTATCGACTAAGATTGATTATAATCTAGTCGTGAAGTATTGTGGTTTGCAACAATGATAATGTTTTCGTGTTCGTAGTATTTTATAATTAATATCTCACTATAAAACAAATACATAAGATATTATTTTTATTACAAAAATATGATTATGGCTGCAATGTCTTTGTTAAAAGCGTTTAACGATTGTTATAGCAAGAATTAGTCACTTACTGGTATTCTTTCAGTGTATACCGAATACACTATTTCATTGTCTTTCTTTAAAAATATAGTATAAGGATATGAATTATTAGAAAAGGGGATTAACGACCATCCATTATTACCATTTCGTTATCATTATTTAAAAACAATATCTGTATAGTAGAGATAAATAGCTAGAGTTGTAACATTAATGATTTTTATGGTGAAATGACATTCGATATCCACGTACATTTCGCTGATTTAATATCAGAATGTTACCGAAGAAGCTTATCACCACTTTTCAGATTAATTGGATTTGTAATGTTTTCTAGAAAGTTAGTAGGAAATTTAAACATTATTCACATAATAAATGTTTGAAATTAAAGTTAAGTATATCTATTTTGTTTTCAAACAGTTAGAAATAGAAAGTTATTCTCAACCGCCCCGTATTATTTGTATGATATTGACAGTGTAATATACATGTATATATATGTGATGACTTAGACAATTTTGAACAAATTTTAATAATTTTTCTACAATCGATAAGGGGTACTATCGTATAAATTTGATATTAATTTAAGGAACAAAATGTTATATTTATAGTTATATTAGAAGAGCAATAAGATAATAAGGCAAGTAGATACGCTAGTATGTAAGTTCAGAGCTCTTGTACAGCTAAGATGTATGTACTGACTGAGTAAATTGTTATTTACTCAGTCAGTCTACGGAGAGCTTTCACAATAACGGTGTGTTGTCTAGTTATTTGTCTAACTCGTCTGTCTCTTAAACTTAAATAAGTTAGTAAGTAAGTAAGTAGGCAGGCAATGAGTTTTATCTCCACATGAATTCATTTTAGAATAAAAAACCTTTTTGTGTGTGTATTTATTTAATTGGTAGGTACCCACCGATCCACGCCAGCTTAGGATTTCGACAAAGGACAGCAACTATCTTGTCTGCTTATTTCTTAAGTAAAAGGAAACAATAGACACAAAATTTTGCTTTGATGTGTCCCTTGAATTTGTTTATTATTAATAATCTTGTACTAAATGTTAAGACAACAAAATATGTAAATGTTTACTTTCTTGGTATTTCAAAACTAATTCTAATATTTAAATAAATAATGGTACTCATGACTTTTTTTAATGGATGATAATGAAATGGTGACTTTGCCTGCGTTATCGGTGTACACTGGCGGGGCACCAGTGAGGGATGAGAGATGAGCATGAAAGCAGGTCAGTTAGCTCATCGTAACGAATGCGAGAAGTATTAATCACAATGGCTTCCAGGGGGAACCGCGTGGAGGTCGACCTGACAGGGCTTGATAGCAGTGTCTACATTAATGACAATCCCTTTCCCTACGGTACTCTTGACACTATTAATTCCACTGTGATGGGTGTGGGGGCTCATATACAAAGTTTTGCGTCATTTGTAATACGTAAGGTGTCTGATCTTACGTGTTATAAATGAAGCAGAACTACCAATACTGATACTGAAATGTACTTATTTACTGTTTGGGAATCGTGTTTCATTAAGAGTTAAATTAAAAAAAAATAATATTCTCACTGTAACTTCACGATATATGCAAAAACTTTAATTTGTGTAAAAAGTTATGTTTACAAAGTTTATTAGATATTAGAGTTAGCATGCTGTTCAAAAACCATTAGCAAAAATAATAATAAATTATTTAAATTTTATTTTTTAATAAAATTAAAAAAAAAATATACTTAAAAATAGTTCTGATAGCTAGTGTTGCCACCGTACAATCTAATGGGCAATAAAATTATAAAAAAATACTATTAAAGAATATTTGTAATTAAATTGCTATAGATTTATAAACCAAAGATGATGTATTCTGAGATCGGAAAAAAATTAAAAATGTATGATTATTATTCCTGAAGAGCATTACTTTAGAAACAAAGTAATGTATTTTAAAATAATGTAAATTGTAATAATCTATGCATCCAATGTTCTTTTTTTTTGTTTAAAGATAAAAAAGTAACACATGTTTTAAAAAAGGAATTCATTTTACTTATTTTAAATTTCCTACCTAACTTTTGAAATCCTTTTTTTTTATACCATTGAGGTGGCAAACAAGTGTACGGTCACCTGATAGTAAGCAGTTACCGTAGCCTATAAACACTTGCAATAATACCAGGGGTATTACGCGCGCGTTGCCAACCCTGAAGAAACGTCTTTTGAAGACCCCATGCTGTAGTCTCTTATGTTCCTTACGGTTTACTATGCTAAGCTTAGATTATATATTTTTTTTAATACAACTTAGAATCAAGCTGACGGCCCACCTGATGGAAAGTGGTAACCGTCGCCTATAGACATGAGCAGTACCATGGACATAACAGAGTATATTGTTTCGCCCATGATGCCCCCCATGCGTTGCCATTCCTGAGGACTCGGGTATTATTCCTCTGTATCCAGTAAATTCACGCCATATCCCACCCTTCAAACCGAAACACAGTCTAAAATCATTGGAGAACGGAGCAATCTTGTTACAAAAGCTCTGAAAATAGGATGTTCTTTACCACTGGAACTCGCCAAAGTCTAATGAAACTGTTGACTTAATCTAAAAAGTTAACCCCGAAGCTGTGGTCGTAGTATCTATTAAAACTTTTTCAGCTGTAATGAAGTTAAATTAGTTTAATCGGAAAAAAAGTATTAGGTAACAGATTTTCTTCTGGCTTAATGATTGCAGGCAATCACAGTAATATGAGATGATACCAGAAAAAAGAGCGAATTTAGCAATTGTTTTTTACATGTTCTTAGTTGGTAGGTACTCGTATTGGTCGCAGAATTGGACGAAAAATTATGTCGATAAAAATGATGTGTGAAAAATTGATAAAAAAGTTTTATATTAAGGATAGGGTAGGGAATTGTTAGTAATGGCACAGATAACATAGTTTAGTAGTTTCAGTGCTAGCAATATACACAGTTTTATTACCACTTTGTTCCTGTTGGACTGGAAACTATTATGGTAAATTTTTGGTGAATTCATCCGGATGGGCTAACTGATCTGATTTCATTTTAATTTATCGTCTCTCAGTGGAACTTTGTAAGTATACATCAATAATGTAAACGGGGTTGCCATTTAACTTTTATCTATTGACGATTTCAATTAATCTACATTTATGAAATCTAAATTCGATACTGGCAATTTTGCTAATATTTTTTAATTGGAGTTTCGGCTTGGAAGAGTGTCTTTTAACCATTTTATATTTTTAATTTTATTAACGTTCATTTTGGTTTCGCGTCATTTTCACTAGTTCATATTTATACATTTTGAAATTTAATGTCTTTGAGATATTATGAAATGGGGATAAGAAATTTGTCTAATAAAGAGTCGATGAGTTGTCATTAATAAGAAATAAGAAGAAAAAATTTAAGATGAAGGAATATCCTACAATAATAAATGACTTCAAATAAGTTTTTTTAACAAAGTCTTAAATTACGTACTATAGTGATGGTAATTTCAGTCAGTTACGTATACCTCTTGGATTACTATTTAAGGTGTACTTGTAAATAATCTGAACTTTGATGCAGACTACATAATAGTTACAAAGTAAGGTTTGCACAAGTTTGAACAAAGTTCGTAGACGTGCTCAAGCATCAGTCGTTGGTCTGTCACACATTGGGACTTCGTAAGTACCTTGGTATTTTGCATACAAGTATGTTGAGGTGTATTTTGCGCTAAGAAGAAGACGCAATGTGTAATCATAAGATATAGGGATTATCTAATTAATTTACATGGGTATTGTTATAGAAATTAGCCGTGTGGTCCCGGCATAAAAGGCGACTAAGGAACGGCAAGGGATGGGCAGCAGCGGTCCTCTTAAAACATCTTTAAAGCTTAACTGCGGTTGCCAATCTGCCTGACAAGCGTGGTAACTACTAGCAAACCCCCCTCCCCCCACCAAGGACGAGGTTTATGTTCAGCAGTGGACGGTTAAGGGCTGATATGATGATGATGATGATGATTGCTATAGAAAAAAGAAAAAAAATGTTTTATCTACATTATTACAAAGAAAGTTAAATTATAATAATGTAGGTAGGTTCTAAAGCATAGGTAATAAGTCAATTACTTATAAAAATAAAATTACCTTTTGTTATCTTTCTGTCGAATAAAGTTAAGGTTTACTTTGTTAACACTTAGATACAAGTATCTAAGTCTTTACATCTATACTTAGACCTTATTCTTATTAAGTTTATTATAATTAGATACTTAGCAATTTCCGCTTTATCAAAAAATTGTAACGACAAAAATTATAGTTCAGAATGATTCCACAAGAACCAATGAGAATCAAATATAAAATGTTACACCCCTGATAAGATAATTCTATTGCTACTTTTTTTTTTTATAACAAGGGGGCAAACGAGCACGCGGCTTACTTGATGGTAAGTGGCCACCGCTGCCCATGATTACTCGCAACACAAGAGGCATCGTAGGTGTGCTGCCGGCCTTTTAAAAATAAATATGTTCTTTTCTTGAAGGTTATTTTAAAGAGTGGTTGTGCGTGGAAGAAATTTCTATGAAACATGCACGGTGGAGGACCGCCACTCAATTACTTGCTAAAAACAATATCTAATGATCACTAATATTGCTAAGTAATAATTATCATGTTAAAAGCGAACAACCTACAATAAAAAATCATGAAAAATACTAGTAGAATTTGGATTAAATGTTTTAATCTATTGAGATAGTCTGTGTA